TAATGATAAATTGATATGTATTCCGACAGATGGCGTAAGCCATCAGCAACTTATAGTTTCACGATAAGGAGATGTATGCTTATCTCCTTTTTTTCTGCTATAATTTATCAACCTGATCCCAGTACATTTTGTCTTTTTTGACTTTTTTTTCGTATAGCTACCTACCGTTTGACAACAGTATAAGTACTTATTAAAAATATTTCAAATTTTTAGGCATTCTAATTTGATTAACTTTCATAAATTTATTTAAAATATTTAAAAAGACAGAAACCAACAGTCGCCTCAACACTGAAGAAAGGTTGAGAGAAGCCCAGAGATCAGGAGATGAGATATCTATGAGATAGATTGGGTGTTGTTGTCGTGTCCAATGAAGAACCTCAGATGTCTCCGTACATCTCTATCACAGCAATGTCCTCTATCTTGGGTGTGTAAAGTTCTGGGTCCATGTCAAATTTCTGTTGTTGTCGTGTCCAATGAAGAACCTCAGATGTCTCCATACATCTCTATCACAGCCGTCGTTCTCTATCTTGGGTGTGTAAAGTTCTGGATCCATGTCAATTTTATGTTGTTGTTGTGTCCAATGAAGAGCCTCAGATGTCTCCGTACATCTCTACCACAGCAATGTTCTCTATCTTGGGTGTGTAAAGTTGGGTCCATGTCAATTTTCTGTTGTTGTTGTTGTGTCCAATGATGAGCCTCAGATGTCTCCGTACATCTCTATCACAGCAATGTTCTCTATCTTGGGTGTGTAAAGTTCTGGGTCCATGTCAATTTTCTGTTGTTGTTGTTGTTGTGTCCAATTAAGAGTCTCAGATGTCTCCATACATCTCTATCACAGCAATGTTCTCTATCTTGGGTGTGTAAAGTTCTGGGTCCATGTCAATTTTCTGTTGTTGTTGTTGTTGTGTCCAATGAAGAGCCTCAGATGTCTCCATACATCTCTATCACAGCAATGTTCTCTATCTTGCGTGTGTAAAGTTTTGGGTCCATGTCAATTTTCTGTTGTTGTTGTTGTGTCCAATGAAGAACCTCAGATGTCTCCGTACATCTCTATCACAGCAATGTTCTCTATCTTGGGTGTGTAAAGCTGCTGCTCTGGATCCATGTCAATTTAGATTAGGTGGTATTCTGATTAAATATGGGATGGTACTGTGAAGATAGGTCAGTTTTGATACTGTTGATTTTGATTGAGGTGAAGGCTTCTAAGAAAAGACGTTGCTGTTTTTCTTTAATAAAGATTCTCGTCCTCCTTAGCTTTTATTCCTTCTTAGAGAAAAAAAAATGCTCCAACGGCCCCCCAATTCTTGCAAAAGTCCAACCCCACCAGCAAGTGCAAGTAACTAAACGGGGCTCTGGCACATTTGTAAGTGCAAAAGTCGAACTGCTTTTCACATGTGTAGACACTTACAGGTTCACTTACAGTAAAAGCAGTCGCCAACTTTTACCCACCATGATTTCATGTCCTGTACCAGGTGTACTAGGGATAAGAAAAAATATATATATATACTCTTAGAAATAATAACACGCCGTTCCTCCAATTGTAATAGTGGTAATAGAATTAATACAACCTGTCCAGAAGTCCTCCTCTACGTGGCGGGCGGGAGAAGCAGCACAAGTAAGGGACTGTCCTGTAGTACGGTGTCGTGAGCCGCTATGGTAACCGTGAACAGGGAACTCTGAAATGTGGATGACTAACGGGGCAATGGCAGCCCTCCTTTCCATGGAGCAAGGACAAGACACTATGGTAACAGTGAACAGGGAACTCTGAAATGTGGCTGACTAACGGAGCAATGGCAGCCCTCCTTTCCATGGAGCAAGGACAAGACACTATGGTAACAGTGAACAGGGAACTCTGAAATGTGGCTGACTAACGGAGCAATGGCAGCCCTCCTTTCCATGGAACAAGGACAAGACACTATGGTAACAGTGAACAGGGAACTCTGAAATGTGGCTGACTAACGGAGCAATGGCAGCCCTCCTTTCCATGGAGCAAGGACAAGACACTACAATAATAGTGAACAGGGAACTCTGAAATGTGGCTGACTAACGGAGCAATGGCACTTCCTCTTTCCATGGAGTGGACAAGACATCACCATAATTATTACTAAAAAATATTAAAGAATCCATAGATAACCATTTAGAAAAATCTCTAATCAACATATTCAATGAATGTATCGTTTCCAATATGCAAAATCTATATTAAACCTTTATTTTAATACGTAGATGAGAAAAGAACAAAATTTTATCAATTTTGTAGATATATATATACAACTATCTTTTGAACTGGGAGAAAGAGAGTGAAGGAAATTTGTAGAGAATTGTTTTTGCATGTTTCAATTTTTATCCTTTCTCCTTGTATATAGCCAATTGGTTATGATGTAAAGAAATGCGGCTGATTCCACACTCGCCTGTTCAGTATTCGCTAACCATGACGTATGTACGAAGGAACGTGTGGCCATTGGACATGCATCGGATCTGTAGGCTGTTGTTGGGGGCTGCGCTGCCTTCTTCTTCTTCCTTATCTCCACTCAATCATATCAGGGTCTGTGTGAAGTAGAATGTGTCTGCCTTTATCATTAAGACTGGGAGCACTACTCAGTGGCAGGGCAACTTATCTCCAAAAGAAATGACCGCCTCTGACATGAGGCCTTAGCCGCTCCTAACATGGAGTACAAACGCTGCTCATCCTGTATCCCTGGAGCCCTTACAGGGTACTATCAGCATGGCCAGCTGAGCCCAGGTTTTTAGTGAGCTTGTTACTGCTCCCCCTCCTCTTTTTTTCATCCGGGCTTGGGACCGGCAGCTGCGCTGCCTGGAGTACAGGAGTTCCATCTATTATTTCTTCCTCTGGTGAATCTGTATAAGACTGGTGGTCTTAATAAAGCTTTGTGTGTAAATAAATGTATTGATCCAAATATCCCTGAGTTTGGGATATCGTGTTAAAGGACGTTAATAAAGTTAAAGTTAATACGTCATAATATTTTAGCATATTTTCTTTCCATAAAGAGGCGATATATTAATACAATTTCTTTCTAATTTTTAACTATATACATGCAACAACTCACGTTATTAAACAGTATAACTATTATAAAAGGCATAATACGTTGCAATTCTTTTTTTATTTATTTATTAAATGAAGCTTTCGGATAATCCCTTTCTCAGCAAACTAAAACATATTTTACACAAATAAATTTACTGGCAATGCGTTTCTTTTAAATATCATCAAATATTATCTCTTGGCGAAACCGCTGAGAGGGTTCACTACTGATGAACCAAGCTCTCTCATTCAATAACTCATACCATTGCAGTAAGGTCTGTAGAGATAATATTTGATGATATTTAAAAGAAAGGCATTGCCAGTAAATTTATTTGTGTAAAATTTTAACGATAGATGGCAATTAAATTTAATTTACTGAAACATATTTGAAAAAGGTAATGGAGAGAAATTATATAGCATTTTAAAAGCTGAAATATAAATAAATATAGGAGACATAAGAATTTAAGAAATCTTATGTCTTATATTTGCATAGATTTATCTTTTAAAATTCGATATAATCTCTATTCCATTGCTTTGTTTATATGTTTTAGTTTGCTGAGAAAGGAATTGTCCGAAAGCTTCTTTAATCAATTAAATAAAAAGATTTATAGCGTCTTATGCTTTTTAGTAATTTGTTGAAATCCGCTTTTGTTGAAATTTGTATAGTAATTTGTTGGAATTTAGTTTTCTGAGGAAAGGTTTGCCCGAAAGCTTCATTTAATCAATTAAATAACAAGAATTTCAGTGTCTTATGCTTTTTTGTAGATTGTTGAAATCCGAAAATATGTAATAATGAATATAACTATTAAAAATATTAAGTTTTTTTCCTAATATTTTAGAAGTTTTAATACGATTATTAAGACAAGACGGTGAACTTACTTGTGAGGCGGCTTCGTCTGAAACAGAGGCTGGTTATCAGAAGATTGAGGTTTCGTAAACAGACGATAGCTTGGGATCGTCTGCCTTGATATGGCGGGCAAATAGATCTGTTCACCCTGGGAGGGAAATGTCCAAGTTACCCTTGTAGAGTTCTTTATATCATTTTGATTACCTTTTTTTTTTAGGTGATTTTTAAGATTTTGATTCATTTTTTAATATATATATATATTAAAAATAAAAAATGTATATCCTGACCAGGAGCATATGTGCTTTTCAGAAGGCAGAGCTCCATCTGGTGGAATAGAAATCAACTAAACATTGATTTAGCCTGTTACCTGATATTTGGCTAACCCAATTTCTTGATAAATCATAGATGTTTTTCATATATATATATAGATGGAAAATTTGCCGGGAGGAAATTAATCCATAGAAGCATAGGGCGCCTCTCCCGTCAAAATAAACGTCAAAACTAGACGCCATCTATTGACCGTCACCGCAAACTAGCGGCCTCGGGTCGGTGACAAAGCCACAACACCAGCTTTGGAAAACTGAGAAGCGTCCACCTAGAGATCATGGTTTCGGGCTAATGGCCCTCGTCAGTCTAGGGCGGACTTTATTCCATGAGATCCACAAGGGATCAAATGGAATCCTCACAATCTGCCAAAGAGAGATGTTTAGCTGGTAAAGTGGCTGGGCCAAATCTATGGCTAAAATATAGATGGAATCCGCCCTAGGCTGACGAGGTCCATTAGCCCGAAACCATGGTCTCTAGGTGGACACTTATCAGTTTGTCAAAGCTGGTGTTGTGGCTTTGTCACCGACCTGAGGTTGCTAGTTTGCGGCGACGGTCAATAGATGGCGTCTGGTTTTGACGTTTATTTTGACGGTAGAGGCGAACTGTGCTTCAATATATATATATAGATGGTAATTTAGTCGGAAGGATATTCATCTTTAAAGAGAAAAGTCACCTCTCCCGTCAAAATAGACGTCAAATTGATGGCGTCTTATATATTTGGCGTGGGAATTTTTATGCTGTTAACGGAAAGGTTGGTGGTTCGAGCCAACCCGAGGACGATTTTCACCGTAAGCCATACCACATTGAAAACACCGGTTCTCATCCGATCACCGAAGTTAACGGTCAGTACTTGGGAGGGTGACCACTTGGGAACAACTGAGTGCTGTAGGCTATGATTTTTTCATCTCCCACGTGGTCTAGTGGCTAGGATGCCTAGCTCTCAACTCAAGAGGCCCGGGTTCGATTCCCGATGAGGGTTTTTTTTTTTTTTGGAAAAAAATTAATACATTTTGATAAAGCACAATTTGGATTATTACTATATATAGTCACGACCGTCTTTCCTCATCGGCCGCCTCTGTCACGGATAATATACAGTTATCATCGTCATGCGTTCTTAATTCAATCACCGTTTGCTTTTGGTTCAGTGGTAGAATGCTCGCCTGCCACGCGGGCGCCCCGGGTTCGATTCCCGGCCGATGCATTTTTTTTTTTTTTTTTACAATTTTTAAAACTCATTTATATATTATACAAGAATGACATCCACGGCGCCAATTTATAATTGTAACGAATAGTATTTGAATAAAAGCATTTAATCGGGTAAACCTCGGGCGTTGCCCGGGTCATTCGGCTAGTAGATTATAAACACGAGGTAATAAAACCAAATCCAAATAAATAAATAGTGTGTGACGTTTTGGTAACAACACTGTCACCTACAAGGTAATAAGACCTAATACAAATAAAAAAAATAGTGTGTGTGACGTTTCGATAACAGCATTTTTAACATCAACAGACAAAAGTATTGAATGAGAAATATTGTGATATTTTTTACTCATTCAGTACTTTTTTCTGAAGATGGTAACAACACTGTTACTGGAACGTCACACACTATTTGTTTATTTGGTCTTATTACCTTGTGTTTTATCACACACTTTAATTAGTAGCCTGTAAAACCATATTTTCTCTTTCTATCTCTCTCTCTCTCCGTACGACCCCTGCTCCGGGAGGTTTTCGCCTCCTGCGAAGAGCCCCTGGATCTGCAGGCCTGGCTGTTCGGTGTCGGCCTCCATCCCGAGGCAATGAGATTGACCAGTGTGGCTACCATCTACAAGTACCATCTTGGTCTTGAGTTGGGTAACACCAGCCATCACATCGACCTGCCTACTCTGTGGGAGGGAACTCTCGCAGTTCATTGGTGGCGGAGTCTTTCCCGCGGTTGGCGTCACCAATGAAGACCTTGTATATATATTTACTAGCCGAATGACCCGGGCAACGCCCGGGTTTTACCCTATTAAATGTACCCTGTTTCACCCGTGGTCTCTGTTTTTTGGAATTTTTCCCGATATAATTTTGTATCTGATAATCAAACATGATACAGCAAAATTTTTAAAAAGCAAAATTTTTAAAATAGCCTATCGTCTTCCCAGTATTCTTTTACCTATGTATGGAAATTTTGGTTTGAATTAGTGAACTACTGAGAATTTGTAGACGAATGACCCGGGCAACGCCCGGGTTTACACGATTAAATGTATATTACATATGGAAGATGGACGTAGTTCCCGGAGGGCACCCGCGAGGTCACTCTGCCCCCGCGCAACTGTCCAACTGGGAGCGCCCCGCGCCGTCAAAATCGTCACGCGTTCTGCTCCGGCCGTCAGCCGGGAGATCTCATTTACTCGGCGGGGGCAGGGGGAAGGGAAGTCACGTGCTGCGCCGGCAGCCAATCGTCGCGCGCCGCCATCGCCCGCCTGAGTGTTCTAGAGGGCGCTGCTCGTGAGCTAAGTTGAATAATTTGAATATATAGTTTTAATAAATGATTTATATATATTTTAAAATAGCCTATCGTCATCCTCGTTATTTTTTACCTATGTATGGAAATTTTGGTTTGAATTAGTGATCTACTGCGAATTTGTATAGGAGTCATACAAACAAAGACACAGACAAACAAACATACAAACATTCATTTTTATATATATAGATAGAAGATAGATATGAAAAAACAATAGAAAAAATAAAAGATAAGTGGGTCAGGTGTTGATATATATGTATATTTATCATCTATTTTATCTATTTATTCATGTATTTATCATTATATAATCATATTTATTCATATTTAGGTATTTAACCTTATATAATCTTATATGGACTTTGAAATAAATCAGTTTCAATCTCAATCTCTCTCTCCCCCCCCCCCCCCCCCATTGTCGACTTGGAGCGTGGTTTAATGAATCGCTCTAACTCGTGAAAGAAAGGGTTCAATCCTGTACTTGTCGCTTTTTTTGGGCTCGAAAATCATACACTTTGGTTTGTGAATTACCTTTAAGTTTATTGAAGAATAGGTTGCCTCTTCCGTCGAAATAAACGTCAAAAAACTGACTCCATCTGTGGACGCTTCTCAGTTTGCCAAAGCTGGTGTTGTGGCTTTGTCACCGACCCGAGGCCGCTAATTGCGGCGACGGTCAATAGATGGCGTCAGTTTTTTGACGCTTATTTTGACGTGAGAGGTGACCTATGCTTCTATGAATTAATTTCCTCCCGGAAAATTTATCATCTATTTAAGTTTATTGTGAAATGAAGCAATAAAAAGGGAGTAATCCATAGAGAATTTTGAGATTTTTTTTTTGTTCCACAGATATCCATGTACGCCCTTTATACTGTGGCATCTGGTTCCCCTCTTCACAAAAGCCAAGACGACGTGGGTCAAGGAAGTACTACTGGCCCAGGGAGGACTGTGGGATTAAAGAAGAGATCAGCTGAGGAAGAGACAGACGGGAGAACAGACAGTCTGGTGCCATCAGTGGTGAGAGAAGACGGGTTGAGTTGTCTCAGTGGCCAGGTGGATGTTCTTGGAAGTCAGAGAAACTTGTCCGACCTGGACGGCTGTGGAAGATCCTTTTGGTGGCGGACATTGGAGACATCCTTAACTCTACTACCAGCTACTGGTACGTCGTGCTGTATCTACATAGAACCTCTTGTTATTTAGATGTCTTGTACGTATACAATGACAGCTTAAAAGCATCGTAACTGTATTTATTTCAATAGATCACTTTTTGACTCCTTCTTTATGAGCACGACCTCCAAGATCTTGTCTAATTTAAACAAAAAAAAAAACTTTTTGACTCAAATCTCTTTTATTTGATGATAGGTGAAATGTCTCATTGCTGACAATGTTGGAAGGAAATCTCCGGGGGAAGAAATCGAGGGGAAGGAGACAAAAGGGATACACAGATGATCAAAAACAATGGACTGGATGACACACCTAAAAGGAGATGAAGAGGATGACGGAGGAAGCATGGAGAGACCATGTGGCCCACCCTCAGTAGAGGAAGGCATTGAAGGAGGGAGATATGGAGAGACTATGTGGCCTACCCTCAGTAGAGGAACGCATTGAAGGAGGTGAAATGTCTATTGGTCTCCAATATTTCCCTGACTACATTGACCAATGAGGCTGGATAGATACTGAGTACAGAAATCCCACCAAGTTCTTCCATGTTCAAACAAGGTACAAAATTGTAGCACAGATTTGCCCAGTATTTCATTTTTGTCCAAGGGATGGCATTGATAATATTCTTTCCCATTGCTAATATCATTTCATATGATAAGGTACAATATAGACTCATGGACAAAACTTAGGGAAGTTGTACCTTTCAGCATGTATATCGTGATTCAGACAATAACTCTGAAAGATATTACAGTGACCTTTATTGAAGACACACGAGATAACATACACTCATGGACATAACTTAAGGAAGTTGTACCTTTTATCATGTATATCTGGATTCAGACAATAACTCTGAAAGATATTACAGTGACCTTTATTAAAGACACACGAGATAATATACACTCATGGACATAACTTAAGGAAGTTGTACCTTTTATCATGTATATCTGGATTCAGACAATAACTCTGAAAGATATTACAGTGGCCTTTATTGAAGACACACAAGATAACATACACTCATGGACAAAACTTAAGGAAGTTGTTGTACCTTTCAGCATGTAATTGGGATTCAGATAATAACTCTGAAAGATATTACAGTGGCCTTTATTGAAGACACACGAGATAACATACACTCATGGACAAAACTTAAGGAAGTTGTTGTACCTTTCAGCATGTAATTGGGATTCAGATAATAACTCTGAAAGATATTACAGTGACCTTTATTGAAGACACACGAGATAACCAAGTGTGAACAGCCTCTGTCTTCTTAAAAATCAATCACCTTTCCACTCTAAAGTTTTGTCTGAGTATATTAATCCAAAAAAACTAATTTTTTTTTTAAATAATGACACCAAACAGTAATTTATCTAAAACATTTGGAATTTATTTTTACTGAAACCACAGCTTATAAAATGACAAATATACACACCAAAGGTTTCTTCTAGGAATTAAAAAAAAAAAATTAAAAAATATAATAACAAAAAAAATTATAAATTATACTTGAAAAAAAAAAAAATTTGTCTATATTCTGCCTTTTACTAGAATAAAATGAAATGTTGTTTTTTAAAATATATATTCCTTTTTTGTTTGTTTCTTGTGTGTGTGTATTTGATACCTTTTTATATATAATAATAATTATATATATATATATAGCATTCGATCTGGTACATATATATATATATCAAATAATAAATACTTATTTCTTTTTCCAGCCCCCAAAAAAAAAAACCAACCACAAAAAAAAAAAAATTGATGGCAAAAGGAACCTTTGTTTGATGGAAGAATTAAAAAAAAAAAACTATAAAGAGAGATTTTAAAAGAAACATATGATACAGACAAACCCTCCCATTCTCCTTTACAAAAAAATAATAATAATAATAATAATTCCGAAAAAGAATAAAGTTCTTTAAAATTTTGTTTACAAAAAAAAAAAAAGATAAAAAAAAAAATTTGCATAACGAGTGACATGATGCGTTTCAAACTTGAAAAAAAAAAAAAAAACAGTGAGAGATGAAAGAGATAGTGATTTTGCTAAAAAAAAAAAAAGAATATAAAGCTAACAATAAATGCGTAAAAATTAAAATATATATATATACTTTTTTTTGTAATATATATATGTAGTGTCTTTAAAAAAAAAGGATGAAGTGTTGAGAAAAAAAGGTGAATGGGGATAGGATTGGGGCTCTTAATGAGGGGAGGCTAATGTGGAAAAAAGAGAAAATATTGCACATGAA